GTCTGGGTTTCCCTGCTGAGACTGCTGCCCCCGCGACCCGACCTCGGATAAGCGGGTTGGATAATGGAGGGAGAGAGAGAGAGATATAAAAAAAACTTTTATAGGCCTTAAATAAAAACCTACTTAATTCTACAACAAGCCAGAGCACTTTCACAAACTTCTACTGCAAAAGAAACCAATTGTTGTAGTCGTCATTCTGCATCATGCACCACCTGTGGCATCAGTATTGTAATAAAACAATTACAATTTACAAGTATTTGGTAAATAATTATTTCCAGGATTTTTCCATTATATCCTTTATACTTTTGCCAGTATGGCTGTGAAGTTGACTTAATTTTACGGGGTATTAAAAAGATCTAAAAGTCTTAAATGTTACTTTGAGAACCCTGTTGGTACCCTGGTAAGGGTTACTGGTGCCCTTTGCCAGTACCCATGTAAATATGAGTTTATGAAGGCGAAGCTCAGCTTATCCACTGCACCTGAAAGATATACCCCTGCTGGTGTGCCTGACCTCTCCACTCTGCATAGGAGCAAGTTGGACCAGCTGCACTGTGGTATTGAGCTGGCCAAGAAGAAGCTCATAGCCATTCAGCAGACAGTGGCCAGCTGCATTTGCACCAACCTCATTCTGTCTCAGGGCCCCTTTCTCTACTGCTGCCTCATGGAGGTCAGTCGTGGGGTGCAGTTCAGGGGGGCCTCTGGTACTTTTGATGATGGTCACTACTAAGCCACCTCTTTTTTTGTATTTTAAGAATATGGGTCTGCCCTTCAGAAGTTCATTGTTGTTTACAGGCCAAGAATATTACTTTGAGTTCTTTGTTTCAGTTGTTCTCTCTGTGTTTATTTGTGTTTGTGTATTGCAGGGAACCCCTGATGTAAAGCTGTTCTCCAAGACTCTGGCCCTAACACTGCTTTGCAAGTACCTGCTAAAATCCTTTGTTCGTTCAGTGAGTATGCTGCCAGATACTTTCACTAAACAAGAGAAGCCATCAATAGTCAGCCCACCTGGAGCTTTCTCTTTGTAGACCAGGAACAAGCGCTGCAAGCTGCTCCCGCTCATCATGACGGCCCCAATGGATGTGGAGAAGGGCACGGTTATTGTACTGGGAATCCCACCAGAGTCTGAGACATCCGACAAAAAGAAGTGTGTGCTTATGCAGTTTTATTTTGACTATTTGTTAATCTACATGACAATTTTTCACATTAAGGGCTGTCAATACTGGTTTGTATATATAGTGGTTATTACAGTACTGTGTGTTATTGTAGATAAATTGAAGGCAAATCCTCTTCATACAACAGAACAGAACGGGGAACATTTTTGTGTATCGGAGGGAAGAATCAGTTTCCTTAGATGTTACCTGCATCTCATTATGCACACATTGTGTGTTCCAGTTTCTTTGGGAGGGCTTTTGAGAAGGCTGCAGAGAGCACTGGCTCCAGAACACTGCATGACAACTTTGACACATTCGGTAAGCAAGGCTGTGTAACGTGCCTCATATGTTTTATGCAAATAGCCTGTGATTTATTCTGCAGTGCAGTGTTGGTAGTAATTCCATGTCTGTACACTAGATGGAAGCATCAGAACAGATCTGCTTGTATTTATAATGGTAAAAGTTACCTGTGAGTCCAAAAGTTTTAGATGGGCAACGGTTAATGTTTAATTTGGGTTGTGAATTGGTTTTGATGCATGCAAATAGAGGGCTCCTCCTATGAGCTTCTGTATGGTGAAGAGCAGGCTCAAATTAGCATTCAGTGTAGTATAACATCCTCCTCAACCTTCTGACCTAGTTATCGAGCTGAAGACTGAGGACAGAAGCAAGTTTCTGGATGCACTCATTACCTTGCTGTCATGAGGGGTGAGTATGTTTGCTGAAGGTTAATACAGTGCTATGCAGAAAATGTATTCATTGTTAATGACACTGTAATATTTAAGTAATTCTTTTGGGTTAGTAATTCAAATACTTGTTTTAATGTAGCATTATTTGATTTTTGTCTGGCATGTGTTTTTCAGGTTAATCTGGCCCAGTCACCTTGTGTCGTTTTGATTTGAGTGGTTTTTGTTTTTATGCATTTTGAAATTTTTTTTAATTATATTTTCAGTGTAAATAGTGAATATGCACATAGTACTTGCATTAAATAAATTATTTTAAAAATACAGAATTCTTTGTCTGTAAATTTAGTTGCAAACAACTGTTTTTTTTTTTTTTCCCCCCTGCTCATCCAAGTGATGAAATTTGAATGGGAAAACTGCAAAGACCCAAATGCAGAGCAGACAGCCAAAATGCCAGAGAAGAATCAAGGTCGGGGACGGAAGCAGAGGTCAAATAGCCGAAGGATCTGTTCTGGGGGTGTGAGGGGAAAGGCAGGCACCCGTGCAGATACTGGATGATTATTACAAGCAGGCACCCCCTCACTGGGGGTCAGGACTCGCTGGGAAGGGGATCGGGAAAAACTCAGACATACAGGGAGAAACGAGGCAGAGAAGTACTGAAGTCACACATGCCAAAACAATACATCATACTGACTATACTGGTTCTACCAGTTATATACCCCTGGCAGTTACTCGGCCGAAGCACAACAGCTGACAGTATTGTGGTGAACTTGAGCAAAGCGGGGGGTTGTGACTGCAGAGAGGTCAGCAACAGTACTCAGAGTAATGATAATGATATGCGGATATGGATATTTCAGACTCTTTTGGAATTTGATTCCCCTTCGTAACTGGGTTGCAGTTTATGTATTTAAACTTGTATGCTTATCGGCCTATTTGTGTAATTGCCCTTGTAGCTCTATGATTCTACAGGAAATGCTGACGGTGTGCCCCACAGGCTGCAATACCAGAATTCTGTGACTGATCATAACACATAGGCAGGGTTGCACCAACATGGATTAAATTAATCCTGGTTCAGACTCAATGTGGGGTTGGTAAATCTAGGTTTAAACTGGTTTATAATTAGAGATGTTTCATATACAGTAAAACTGGTCTAAGTTGCCGGCTTGTAACTCATCAATGTGCACAACATTTTATTCTAAAATGGAAACAAAGGCTAGGTTGCACCAGCATGGTCTAACTTTTAAACAGAAGCCATGCAGATTTACAAAAGACTGTGTCATACCTCAATGGGAACAGAGACGGGGACTCGAGTTTGCGACTTGGACTCGAGTTGCACTTAAATGACTTGCAACTTATTTTTTGACTCTGACTCAACTCCGGCTCAATGATAGCGACTCGTGAACAATAACAGTCTTTAAGGCTCTGTTGAAATTTCTACACATGCGAAGCATTGAGTGTACAACTCTTCCTAAACCCTAAAGGTATTAAAAACATCATGATGTGCTGCGCATAGGAACAGGAGCCAGAGAAGTGTGACATCAGGTGATATCAGCAAACATCATGATTTTTCTGTTTTTCCATAAGAACATAAGAACTATACAAACGAGAGGAGGCCATTCGGCCCATCGAGCTCGCTTGGGGAGAACTTAACTAATAGCTCAGAGTTGTTAAAATCTTGTATAGTTCCTTCGTAAATTATTCATAGTTTCACAGTCAAAAAGAGGTTCAGGATACATTTCACTGCATGTTGTACCTGTATAACTATGCATGTGACAATTAAAATAATCTTGAATAACAACACAATTTAAGCTATATATCATTTACAACATAGATTAAGCAACACCTAAGTTTCTAAGTGGTGCCTTCAAATGTAAAATAAAACTTGTCCGGGGAGGGGCCAGACAAAGAGC